AAAAATATTTATTTCTATTTTTATTTTTTATTTTTGGAAAAATCAAAAATCCAAAAAATATTTTATTTTGAGTGTATTTTTAACTCTTAATTACTTCTATTGTGTGCTAAGTTTATATTTACTTTTATTTTTATCTCAAAGTTTCGTTTGTCATAAAAAGCTAATTCAAAAAGAAGAAGAGACTCAAGGAGACTGTATTGGAATTTTCTGAGCAAGGAGAAGAAACTTGGAAAGGAGTTGATGGTCATTACACTTCACTCTATTTTCACAAGGAATTGAAGGATTGAAACTGTACAAATTGTCAGTTAGGCAGTATCTTTGTAAGAACTGTCGTATTTAAGGAATTAAAAGTCTGAAACTGTACCGATGTCATGGCACCAGGGCGATGCACCTCGCAAGGCACGATTATCGTTGAATGTCTCGCCAAGGGCCAAGTTAACTTGTTTAAATTGAAAAACTGTATTGAGATATTTGATGTAGGATATACAATGGCTAACATCAAAAAGGCCATGAGTAGTTCTCCGATACTCAACAAATCACAGTGCGTTCCTCCGTGTTCACACATATACTGCAAGTAGTCTCCTTCTGGTCCAAGGCTGGGTCCTTGAACAACTATGGTGAGAAGAGTTTTTATGACTCTATGATCCACATGGATTTGTTTTTGTCATGGTTACTTTCAAGACGCATATGTGATCGACAAAGAACACTCATTTGAAGGAACAAGAAGTGAAGATTATTTTTCAACATACAATCTTTCAACCCCAGAAGCAAGGTGAAGATGTACATAAAGTTATGTGACAGATTGCATTGAAGCCTCCTCAATCAATTTGCTGCTATCTATGAACTTGCTGAAGTGATCCAGAAGAATTGGTCTCTCTGTAATTATTTTCTCTGAAGTATTTCAAAGCTGAAAGTGCTGATTTTCAAGAACCTTTACAAGAAGCATCTACACCCAATGTGCTTTCAAGGTCAACTCTTTGAAGGAAGTCCAACTGTTCAAGATAAAGTCATTCCTGCATAAATTCATATGTTCATCTTGAAGTTGTGAAGAAATCGAAGATTAAAGCTAAAACTCAAGATCAAAGAGAAGAATGAAGAGAAAAGAAAGCTATAAACCAAGGGGGAGATTGTTAGGTCATAAATGGTGGTTTATACTTTGCTTTTCATAAGCTATTAGAGTTCTCGATCTAGGACCTAAAACACCATGTTTTGGTGTCGTTTGGACCGAAATCACATGTGATTTCGGTTAGGCTTAATGTTGTCTTGTTTGAGTTTTGGGCTGGGCCTTTGTTATTAGGTCTAGGTATATATAGTGTTATTTTAGCCTTGTAAAGTGAGATAGACGTTTTTGGGTGTTGCCATAAGCCAAGTACATGTTCTAGAGAGAAACAGAGACAAAAACCGAGTGTAATTCGAATCTTATGTACCAGACTAACATCAATATAGTGTGCATTGAAGATTCATTTTGTGTTCTTTATTCTATATCACGTTTTGCATTAATCACTAGATTGAGATTCCGCACAAATTCTAGTGAATCCGATTGATACGTCACAGTTTGGGGTTTTATAGTATTCTTATTTATAACCTACAAACTTCGATAATGAACAAGTTTATTCTCACGAAATTTGTTTCTCGTTATCAATTATTCTTAATGTCTCTAACTCAATAATTTTTGTTTCAAAGTTGTTTAAGAGATTAATTCTCATGGTGCTTTTTTTCTCTTGCATGCGTTTTTACCTTTAGGTACATTCTCATGTAAAGTCATTCTGACAGAATTTAATCTTGAATTTCAATTATGTCGGAATGGAATATCAAATTTCGATTATGTCGGAATGGAATCTTGATATTTCCTTTGTGATTTGTGCATTTTCTACAATTCTTGGTTATAAGTTTGGGTATAATTCACAAGTCTGCAGATTTGTACAAAGGAGTTTAGTTTTTTCTTTTTCATTTGGTAATGAATTATTATTTCAGAATGACTTGAATAAGGAATCAATGATTGATCATACAAGAGAAAGACTTGGAATTGAGTTCAATAACAAGTTACATTGAAGAAGATTAAGTGTAAACAAGTTGATTATTTGGTCAATTGAAGAATATTAAGTGCACTTGTTCAATAATTGTATATTTGAGAATACTATTCTTAAGAATTTTATTCATTTGATGACATTTTGTTAGAATATGTACAATTATATTAAAATGTATCAGTCTATAAGAATATTTATGATTTTGTATTTAAGTTCGGATGTGTATGAATATATTAGAATGTTGTTATTATTCAATTTTAGGTTCAAAAATTTTATTATTCTTCATTAGTATTCTAAAAGAATAACATTCTAACAAAACAATATCATCGAACATCATTCTAAAGGAATAACATGTTGACAGAAGTACAATTAAATTAATTAAAAAAATCAGAATTCAAAATTACGATAATAAAAAATTCCTTAAAATCTGAAAATTTCCTTTTTAGATTTGTGTTTCCTAATTTGAAAGTAAAGGAAATGTATATTTTTACCATTCTTTTGATTAAATGGTATTATTCTATTTTTTTAATTTAATAATAGGGATAAATGTCTTTCTTAAAATAACTAAAATGATTAGTCGACAATATTACACAATAATTAGTTAGTATACAATAACTTAAGCCTCTCTCTCTCTCTCTCTCTCTCTCTCTCAATATATATATATATATATATATATATAAAATTTGTATTTAAATATTTAGTAATATCTAGTGGTGTTCATAAATATCTGCATCTGAATATCAGATCCGAAAAAATCGAAAATCCAATCCGAAATTATCCGAAATTTCAGATATCCAAAATTCGGATATCCGGTTATTCGGATTCGGATTCGGATAACGATTTTAAAAAAAAATTCAGATATTTCGGATATCCGAAATACATATATATTCATAATTTTAGTTATTTTTCAATATTTTGTTAATCAATGACTTTAATGTAAACTACAAAGTGGCTAATTAAATAAAAAAGCTAAAGGAGTCGTATTTTGATATGTATTGATGAACGATAAACCATCATCAGACCATCATCCATCTATACGTTTTTATATAAAATGAAATTAATCTTTCTAAAATCTTGACTTTTACCATTTATCTATTGTTTGACTAATCTATATATCTATTAGGAATTGAGTGATTAAACCAATCAACCTACATATCTCATGTAAATCTAAAATTTTGGAGCCTAAACTTGTGGAGTCAATTATTTGTCCTATCGTCGTTTTGATGTAGTTTTTGTTGATTTATTAGTTAATTTCTTTGATTTATGGTTTTTAATTTGTTTCATAGTTAATCTTTTCATTGATTGTTATTATTTTATACGTTAGTACTTAAAGGTTCTAAAATTACAAATTCCGAATATCCCATTTAGGTATCGGAATCCGTATCCGAAAATTCAGATATCTGAATTCCGGATATCCAAAATTTCGGATACAGATTTCGGATATCAAAAATTTACTATCCGAAATTTTAGATATCCGAAATTCGGATATCTGAATTTTCGGATATTCGGTTTTGAACAAACCTACAAATATCATTATAAACAATCAAAAGAAGTTTTGTAGTTGTAGTTATTATTTGTTAATTCTCAAGGACAATGTGATAATTTTATAGTCCATGTAATGTATGTCTTAGCCATACCAAACCCTAAATAAATAATTAATTTAGTTTAGTGTTATGTTCTATCCAGTTCCATCTACTACCTTAACTTCTTAGAGTGAGTTTTTATTTGTCGTGATTCCTTTTTTGGTACCCTTTCCATTAAGGAGGCAGCCCGTAATCATTACTTATAGCCAACTCATTACCATTAAGTTAGTTCATCCGATTACCTAACGATTAGTTTGAGAAAGCACTTCGATACATTAGAGAAGAATAGTGTCAAATATTTACTATGACATTTCTATTGTTTTGTTGTCCCACAAATTTATAATTAGTTATTTATTTATTATTAGTATTGAATTTAATTATATATTAAATTATATTATTAGGTTGTTATTATAAAAGATAGATGAATATGTTGAGTATAATGTATTTTCTGTATTTTTTTAATATATATATATTTTAATTTTTATATTTATAAAACAAAACAATAATTGAACCCATTATCATTACTTTTGTTTTCTAAGACAACTGATAATGTTAAAAAAAAATTTGTCGATTGATGATGCTAAATAACTTTCTATTGAAATGAATAACGAACAACTATTCTTTCAAAAACATCTCTTTCGTATAAAAAAATACAATTTGTTGAGAATTCAAATATTCAAGATGTCGTATTTTCAGCCGATGAGATTTTTAAAGTTAATTAATACGTAAAATTATATATTGTATTATGGCTCTTTTGTTTTTATTATTTGTATAATAATTATAGATTTATGATAGTACTATTTAATTTTTTTAAAATATAATAAGAAAGTAAAGGTTCGCTTTTAATTTTCATTCAAAATCAACGGATTTTTTCTGTTCTTTGTTGTTGTTCGGTTCGAACCTTGGACACCAAGGTAATAAGGTAATATTAAAGTAGTTGTTTACCTTTTTATAGTACAACAAAAAATACACGTATGAGACAAGAATAAAGAAACGACAAACCATGTACATGATCAAACTACACCAACAAAACAAGAGACAACAGCACACCCGATAGCAAATTGCTTGACAACCAAGAAGGGTAAAATCACTGAATCCGATGATACCACTCGGAAATATAGGTACAAAGGGGCAGAAGCATCGAACACCAAATGGCACTGAACGTTGCATCACCTTCCAACAACATCAGTAATGATGAAAGCACCTATTCATTTGATAGAAAGATACCCACCAAAACACTTAACGAAACTCCTAGATAAGTAGTCCCCAACAGCAGCAGATGATAACAAGAGAGACACAACCACCAAAGCAGAAGCGTAACATAAATCCAGCTTCCATGATCCATACAAAGTGAACCATAGCTAGAGCATGTGGTGTTACTAGCCACCAATTAGACACCAAGACCGAGTGTCAACCCCGAACCCTTAAACTTGGTTTCAGTGATTGAATCAATGCGCTCTCTCATCTCCTCTGTCAAGTAATTTTTCCAATCTCCCACCGTCCCTTTCCTAAAATAATTCTGATACTCCACCACCAGCTGTGTAAACATCTGAACACCCCCACCCTCCTTATTCACTTCAAGATTACTCAAATTCTCAAAGTTACACAGCTTCACAATCTCTTCCACCACTCCTCCCTCCTCCTCTTCCGCCGTGAAGGGCATTCCCATGAACGCCGCCAACTTCTTGAGCTCCACTGACGGTTCCCTCTTGATATCCTCATACTTTAAGAACAAGATCTTCTCAGGTGATTCCTGGCTTGCTTTCCAATACTCCAACACATGGTCCCAAAAAGGTCCGAACTCCGAGACTCCATTGCAGAAAAGCTCGTAAGCTTCATTAAACGAAATGGGTGTACGTTCCTCCGACCGGATTTTGCACATGAAGTGCCACTTTAAAATTAGCACGTCTTTAGGGTCTCTACACACGTACACAAACTTGCATGTTGACAATGGTGATGTCATCGAGATCGGAAACAAGCTATGAGCAAAGTGTGTGGCGAACAATCGAGGAGAAGGGAGAAGCTCGAACTTAGATACCGGATATTCCAGAAGAATTTTAGAGTCAAGGGACGGGAAAATACCGTGGGGTCCTGTGCGGTGAATAGGGTGGTCGGAAAACTTGTAAAGGTGGCGGTTGGCGGTGGCGAACATGAGAGCTCTAAGCCAGGTGGTTCCACACCTCATGAAAGCTGCGAGGAAGATGTCAGTGGATCGGGGATGGAAATAGTCGTGGATCATTAATAAGCTTTTCAGAGCTGCTGGGCTCAACCAGAAACCTTTGTGTAGGAAGATGTTTGTGATTCTCCAGCCTTTGTCTTTCGGCAGAGTTGCAAGAAGGTCGTTAAGCTTTTCGTGTAGCAGGTTATAATAGGCCGCTTCTTCTGTTTGGATTTGGTCTTCGTCAATAACGTTACTGTTGTGGCGTGGATTTCGATTGGGATCATGGTATATCGGCAAGGACTGGATTTTTGAGAAATTTCTCGACATGACTGGATTTTTTAGAGAGTGGAGAGACTTCTCAAATCTCAAGTATATTCTGAGAGTGGTTCACGACTTCACGATAAACATGAAATATATAAGGAGTTTCCTTTATACTATTATAGCGATAGATAAATGTCAATTCTTTATTAACCGACTCCTCCTGCATAAAATTAATTTGTTAATGTACGGCATGTAATATATATTTAATATTTTATTTATAATAGGATTATAATTTATTATATAAAAGAGCTCATTTATATTTGTAGAAACAAACATGTAAAAAGAATAATGAATTTTAACAAATATTTACAGTCTTATATTTGTTTAGACATATATATGTAAAAAAATTTAAAACCAAATTTATAAATAAAAAACTCAAAAATCATTAATGAAAATAAAAATATAAAAAATTCAAATTTGTAAAATAAGTAATTTTATAAAAAAAACAATTTTGATAAAAACTAAGTTAGAGAAAAATAGAAAAGAGATTACATAAAAAATGTAAAGTTATGAAAAACATTTCTTATATTAAAACTATGTTCTAATATATATATATATATATATATATATATATATATATATATATATATATATATATATATATATATAAACGAATTTGTTAGAATTAAGTTGGGAAAGTTTTGATTAAAAGGTTTAATGGTGCAAAGTTCCTAACAATTATTATAAAAAAGAAAATGGTAAAAAATTTATATAAAAATCAAATTTAAAAACAATGATAAAAACTAAAATGTGAAATCGTAAAAGAAAAAAAAACATATAAAACATTTTTTCTAAAAAAATTAATTTATAATAAAAATTTAAACCAAATTGGTAACAAAATTAAAACTTAAGCTAAAATTTAGAAAAAAAAATGTAGTAAGCTAATAAAGAAATTATGAACCATTTTTGTAACAAATTTCTCATTTTGCTAAAATTATAAAATTTATATAACATTAGATGGTTGGATGCAGTTTATCCTGGACCCGAGGATTATGAATACTGAAAAAGAAAGAGCAAACCGATTTGATCATCAATGGTAGGATGCAGTTTATACGAGACCCAATTATTAGAATATGTTGAATTATTAAATTGAGATTGGTAGCATTTGAAAAAAAATATATGATTATAACATTATTATACATGGTATGTTTTTCTTCTTTTTTTTCTTTTTTTTAAATCTACAACTACATAAAACACTACATTTAATAATATAAATACAATAACTAATAAGATACATATATGTCTGTTGCGACGTCGTTCCATAGGTGTGAATCTGGCTGGCAAAGGAATCCCCCAAGTGGAACCTGTAATCACAAACGAAAAATATGCCAGACGTTCTCCAGGAGGGGATCCCGGGAGAACGCTCCGACGCTCTTGTCAACAGATAGCGTAAGGCTTTTAGGTAGTATCTTAGCGAGAGAGTCCACAGAGAACATACCTCCTTTAGTAGTCCTTGGCGTTTCTTATATAGTTTGTGCTTTTTAGACGAGGGGGGACCATAGTAACAGTTTTTGGCATACCGGGTTTTGATTGGCCTACACGTCCTTATCTGAATTGCCCTCTGCCCTGGTTGGTGTAGAGAGAATCAATGGTACTGGCATGTGCACGACCATATTGACGTCTGCCTCCGTACGCCAGCTCACGTTCTTGCGTGGAGATTAAGGAATCTTCTTTTGTATGACAATGGATGTCGGGGGTGGCCAACCTTCTCGTCTGTCTCGTCCTCGATGTTGGCTTCTACTGGATATCGGGTCTGGCCAGTTAGTGTCGTCTAGCGATTTCTCCGTAGATGCATTCAAACCAGTGGTTGCCTCGCTATGACTGGATGTCATTTTTTTAGTCGTGTTTCGACGGACCACTATGGGGTACGTCATCAAGCCCTCTAGTCTGGTAGTGATGAAGCAGCGTAGCGGGTCATCATGTGCTAGAATCATAGACACATATGTCGTTCTCTCACTTGTCGAGCAGTTATTGCTTCTGTGAACCGTTATGCTTTTCCTGGGTATTTGATTTTCCATGATCTCTATCCATAAATACCCACCTTCCACATTTTACGCAATCTTCTTTTCTTATCAGTTTCCTTCTTCTTCCCCCGTTATTCACCTCTCAAAAAAGATGGCTCTCCCTGTTTGCATGATTTCTTCCCATGGTATTATCCCAACTTCTAAGTATGTTGAGACTCTCCGGAAGAAGTACGGCTTTCAGCCGAAGGATGGCCTACTTGTTCCGTTGGATGGAGCCTCCATCCTGGAACCCCCTCCGGGAAAGGTCGGAGTTTATGTCAGGACCTTTGATGCTTGCTACCGACTTCCAATCACTGATTTTCTCGATGAGATGCTTCAAAAGAACGGGGTTAATGTTTACGACCTTATCACTAATAATGTAAGCAAAGTCGTTGCTTTCGAGATGCTGCGTCGATTCTTAGGTTTTCACCCAAGGCTGACGGTGTTCAAGAACATCTTCCGTTTTTCTACTGTTGGTGACAAATTTACTTTTTATGCCAGAAGAATGCTCACATCCTTGTTCTAGACGGGAAAAGCAGCCCAAAGAACTAGCAAAATCATTGGTTTTAGGTGAATAGTTCTCGTGTTAGAGGTCTCTATGTTCGAACTGAAGCGACTTCTAATATGTAACATCCCGTTTCCAAATAAACCCTAAACCCCGGGATGTATTTAATTATTTTATTTATTTATTTATTTATTTTTAGCCCTAAAGCAATAATAATTTAATGCAGTGTTCACCGTAAGAAGTTAAAGATTATTGTTTCTAGACAGTGGAGTGTAATTTGTAACATTTGGACTAGATATGTAAAGATTTATAGAAGTAGGGGTTGATTGGTAAATATTGGACTTAAGCTGAAATGGGTTCTTGGAGGAGGGACTAAACTTGTTAAATGAATTATAAGTTCGAGGAGACGCAAGGACTTAAACCCGACGCCCCCTTTGTCTTCTCGGTGGAGTGAGCACACATCAAACCCTAACCCTAATGTGTTAGCTAACAAACACCTTATTCCTCCTACCTCCAGCCGCCGTCATCACCATTTGTTGCTGCTTAGAATCACCGAGCGACCACCAACGTTCCTTGGCTGACCGTCGATTACCCCCCCCCCCCCAAGATGGAAGAGATCGAGACCGACGAGGAGTGGAGGGCGACCTTCAAGTGTTGTTGCTTTCGTCGACTACCATTCGTTGCCGCTAACCCCAGACGCCGCCCAACTCCTTCGCCGAACACCGTCACTTCAACTTCTGTCAACGGGAACGAGGGTCGACGAGCTGCACGTTGAGATTGAAGGAAGCGGGAGCGAACCGGAAACTCATAGATACTGAAACCATTCTCTGGTGAGGACAAGATGCAACCCCTCTCTTCTCCATTTCCATTTCTGAAATGCCACAGCTCGCTTGACCGCTACCATCGCTGCCATGCGACTGTCACCCTGTCGTTTCTCCGACTACCACCTGCCACCACGAGGGTGGTTGTGTTTGTGTGTATTCTCGCATGAGTGTATATGTGTGTGTTTCAGTTGTATGTTGTTGTATGGGTGTTGCTAGGCCGGAAAACCGAAGAAACCCACCACCACCACCACCACTGTGAGGTGGTGGCTGCCACCTCCTACCACAGTCTGCCACCATCTTGGTGGATTTATTGGGTATTTTGTGTTTTTTTGGTGCTAGTGTGTTCATGTATGATTTTAGGAGCTTTTACATGTGTTTGGTTGTTGGATTTATCACTCGAAAACCACCACTGTCGCCGTGAGGTGGTGGCTTCCACCGCCCCAACGCCGTTGACCACCACTGTAACACCCGGTCTCAGGTACGCATTTAAATTCGAGCCAACTTCATATTTTTACCCTTGGACTCGGCGAGTTGGAGGCCTAACTCGTCGAGTGGGATCGACTCCGGGTCGGGGGATTAAGTGACCTACTCGACGAGTCGGAAGACCGACTCGGCGAGTAGGAGCTGTCCGAGTAAAACCCTAAATTGGAGGGTTTGCATCCTATTTAAACAACTTATGAGGCTTCCACCCCAACCTCCATCACCCCCAAGTTCTGTCCTCGAAACCCTAATCACTTGTGAGCATCTTCGAGCTATATTGTGCCTTTGCATCTTGGTTTGAAGCTAGAAGAAGGGAGGGAAGTTTGGTGAATCGAGGAGCAAGTCAGTGGGTTCTGAGTTTGGTTGCATTTCCAGTGTATTTGAGGTAAATAGCCACTATCTTGACCTCCTATGTGTTAGATCTAATTTGGGGATTGAACCTTGGCATCTTTGAGGGCATTTCCATGTCATTTCAGATTTTAGGGTGTAATGTAGGGTAGAAGCTTCAGATCTGGAACCTCGGAGGGTCCTCATGGCATAAAGGTGCCATCTCTATGGCCATGAGAACCCCATGCATGTAATAAACCCCATTTTTGGTCCTTCAAGCTTAAAAGTCCCATGCATGCACGTAAAGTTCATGACTTTACGTGTTATATCGGCCTTAGGAGCCCAGATCTACCTTTTCGATGAGCTTTGTACAACATAAATCGAGTAATGGACTTGGACATAAGTAGACTCGACGAGCCGCTCTTGGGACTCAGCGAGTCGGGGGTTTGGTTCTCCAATATTCTATGATTTGAAGGGATCCAGTTAGGTTTAGAAGGGATTTAGATGAGTCTAGAAAAAGGACTCAACGAAATAGACGTAGTTATGAACCTGGAAACCATGGGACTCGGCGAGTGGATGAACACACTCGACGAGTCCAAGGCAATCTCCCAACCCATGAAGACGGACTCGACGAGTTGTTCATACAACTCGGCGAGTCACAGACTAGTCACATTCATATGGTGAAGATGAACTCGACGAGTTCAAGGACGAACTCGGCGAGCCAGATGAAGATAGTCCCGATGTCATGTTTGAAGGAGAACTCGTCGAGTTCTTGCTAGACTCGACGAGTAGAGTCGGGGTTGGGAACAGGTGAAAGAATAGGGACTCGACGAGTTGATGAATCAACTCGGCGAGTCAGGTCAACTG